AAAATAATAAAATAAAATTAATTATAATAATGTAATTACATCCTCATTTTTATTTTATTTTTTTAAAAGTATAGTATTTTTAAATAAAAAATGAATCATTTTGTATAATTAACAAATTTTATCTTTTAAGATAATATATTTTTTAATTATAAATTAATGTACAAAAAAATATTATAATCACTTAATGTTATTAAAGGTAAAAAATAAAATTGAAATTTATTAGATAATTATTAATTAAAAAATGTGACCACAAATTAAAAATTAAAATGGATAAATTTGTAAATAAAATTAAAAAATTTTAATCCGTTAGCGGTTTGTTATAAAAAGCTACATAAACTAATTTTTTCAATCAACTAGCGATTAGAACTCTAACCGCTATCCGCTAGTCTCAAACCGCTAAATAAAAATTTTACCAAACACTTTATATATAACGATTTCAAAATATATAAATTTACCAAACATCTATATTTAGCGGTTTAGGTAAAACCATTAACCACTGCCCCAAAATCGCTACACCAAACGGGACCCAAGACTCAGAACCACCAAAAAGCTCCCCAAAAACAACTGTCCTAAAAAATCCTCTCCAAAAAACAATTCTTCACTTTTTTTTCTTTTCTTTTTTTTCTTTTTGTAGATGTCGGCTCTCTCCAAAACTTCCAGGTCTCACCTCTCTTTTTCGGTTTTTTTTTTTGTCAGCATTCTCTCCCCCAAAATCTCAGGGTTTACCTTTTTATGCCTCTTTGGACGAGCCTACCCTATCCTTTCCGCGAAGTTTCCTCTTCTTTGCTGGATGTTGAGAACCTGATTTGGGTTTTCTTGGAGTTTGGGTTTTCCGAGAAGAACCCAAGAGAAGAAAAAAAAAGGAGAGAAGATGGAAACCTGGTACAATGAGAGTATAACGGAGACTAACGAAATGTGAGAGCTAACAGAAGCTAATGGAAAAAAAAAAATTTTTGTAACGGGAGTATGGTACAATGGAGTGTAAGCGAAGCATTATTTTATTCTTTTTGGTGGACCGACAATGTGCGTGTTTGGGTGTGTAAGTTTTGCGGTGTGAATGTATAAATTTTCAATTACCTACCATTTTTTTTTTTTTTTTTTCTATTTTTTTGAATAAGTTGTTAAGAGTGGTTTCGAACCACTAGAGGATGGAAGTGCACCTTCAAAATAGTCTGAATACCACTTGACCCGAAATCCCAAGTGCCTACCATTGTTCTTTTATGTTTTAGATCTGATAGAGAAACAAGTCTTCCTCGCATTTTGCATGTGACTGAACCGTAACTACTGTTTTCTTTTGATAAGTTCAGTGTTGACATCAGACGGTCTTAAGGTTTGATAATCTCATTTTCTTCTGAAATTCAGATAATCCTAAGCACAAACGATAGCAAATGATATAGTTGCAATAAATGTCGAATTGCAAGTTTATACTCCATACATTCATTTTTAATATACTTAGTTTCATTTTTTAACATTTTAAATATAAATTTTAAATAAAAATTAATAACATTATATGAACAAATTTTAAAAAATTAAAGTTATTATCTAGTTTAAAAATATGATTGAGTTTTGAGTAGAATATGATTGAAGTAGAATTGAAGTAAAATTATATTATAATGGT